ATCTGGTTGTTTTCTATCAATTACTTTGACTGCAAAAGCCTCAACTGAAGACACTAAATCAGGGCATATAGAACCAGAAACAATCTTAAGATTACTGACTTCCTGAATCTACACGGACTTCTCTTCAAAATAGAGTCAAAATACAATTTGTCTACTTGACTATTTCCAGTCTTAAAAAAACACTACTCGAGAATTATAACTATTTCAAGACTTTTGGAATACAGTTTTCATGATAGGTTTGAGGTTTTTTTTTTTTACACTTTTATGGAGGTATAAATTATATGTCATAAAATTAACTAATTGTAAGTGAAGAGTTGGATTTTTTAGTATACTTATATAGTTGTGCAATCATCACTTTACTGTAGATTTATAACACAGCTGTCACTTCCAAGAGTCCCATTGTGTCCATTTTCAAACAATCCCTGCTCCCACTCTCAGCCCCAGGCAACCACACATCTGCTTTCTATGTGTAGAGGGTTGCCTTTTCTAGAAATTTCATATAAATGGAGTCATACATGATGTATCCATTTGTGTCTGATTTTTCTTTTTTTATTTAGCATAATTTGGAGATGCAGTGCCATCTATGTTGCATGTATCAGCAGTTTGTTACTTTTATCGTTGAATAGCATTCCATTGTATAGATATACAATGTTCTGTTTACTTACTACTTGTGGATGTTTGTATTTTTTCCAATTTCTGGCGATGATGAATGACACTGTTATGAACATTTATGAAGAAGTGTTTGTGTGGACACATGTCTTGATTTCTTCCAAGTAGATATCTAGGAGTTTAATTGCTGGATTATGCTTTAAGTTTATATTTAACTTTTTAAGAAGCTGACAAACTGTTTTCAAAAGTGACTGTACATTTTACATCCATACCAAAAATGAATGAGGGCTTCAATTTACCACATTTCAGCAAACACTCAGTATTGTCACATTTATTATTATTATTATTATGGCTAGTCTTACCTGTATATAGTGATATCTCATTGAAATTTAATGAATAAAAATTGTAAGCACCTTTTTATGTGTGCATTAGCTATTTACCTTCTTTGCTGAATGTCCATTTAAATATTTTGCCCATTTTTAATTTGATTGTATTATTTAGCCAAGCACAAATTCTTTATTGGATATATGATTTGTAAATGTTTTTTCCAGTCTGTGACTTTTCTGTTTACTTTCTTAATGGTGTTTTTTGAAGCACAAATGCTTTAAATTTTGATGTAGTATAATTCATCAATCTTTTATGAATTGTTCTTTTGGTGTACTATCTAAGAAACTTCTACATAACCCAAGGTTGCAGAGGTCTTCTCCTATGTTTTTTTAAGAAGTTTTATAGTTTTGTCTTTTATATGTAAACCTTTGATACATTTCAGTAAATTTTTGTGTATACTGTGAGATAGGTTCCAATTTCATTTCTTTGCATGTTGTAGCTACCTAATTTTTACAGCGTCATTTGTTGAAAAGACTATTATTTCCCCCACTTAGTTGCCTTGGTACCTTTGTTAGCAATCAATGAACCATGAATGTGAGAATGTATTTCTGGGCTTACTAGTTGGTTACATTAATCAGTACTTTGCATATCTCCCTCCATACTGAGCCTATCTCTGTGAAAGCAAAGTTGCTGGATTTTCTGGCTGTCCCTGTGCTGATAAAACTGCAATTCTCACCAACTGCAATGAGGAGAGAGGTGGAGTTTTCTCCATACATGAAGGCCTCATACTTTTATTGTTCTTGCACAAAGCCAGGGTTTCTTTTCAAGAACAAATGCTTAGTTAGTGGGTACAAGGTAAGTTATTTGGGTGATGGGTACCCTAAAAGTCCTGACCTGACCACTACCCAATCCATTCATATAACAAAATTGCAAATATACCCCATAATTTTGAACAAATCAAAAGAAAATAGAGCCCTGAAATGATTATTTTGATAACTTCATCTAGTTTCATAGATGTTTGTGGAAAGGGTGTTCTGACTTCTTCACATAGCCGTGGCTGAAACTTCCTTTTCATGACTAATTTTTAAGGGGAAGAATATGCTGTTGAGCCTCATCTCAGCACACCTACCCACAGAAGTTGCTTGAAATTATATTTAAAGTAATTTTTGGAACACCTGGGTCCATATGGCAGATTAAATCTACATGTTTATTCTCTGCTACCTCCACAATGTCACTAAAATAGCAGTAATAAAACTTTAAAAAACCCAAAATGACCGTAAGGAAACAAGAAAAGCACCCAAAAAGTGTTTTGGAAGCTAACAAAAGTATTAGACAATGGTCACTGTCTTAACAGAACAGAGAAACGTGAAAACTATCACTGGAAACAACAGAAAGATGTAAGTTGATAACACACCAGAAATTCAGAGGTCTCAGGAACTGAAGATACCATATACTATGTGTTTTGAATGGTGGCAAAATGAGGCTGAAAAGGAATATTGGGAAAGTCTTTAAAATGAACATTTATGGCTATTAATTTCCAAACCTACTATGTGCTGCTAGAGAACTACACCTGGTATATCTGAGTACAAGACTGAGATTTTAACCCATGGACACCGAGGGAGATCAGCCATAGCTGAGGTGATAGTGAGCTACAGAAGATTAAGAGAAAGTAAGAACACTGAGATACTTAAATCCCTTTCTTAATCAGAATGCTACTAGTAATATACACATCCCCTTAAACAAAGGATTGGAGTATGCTAAATAAATCTTACAGTTCAAAAAACAGAGATGCAGGTAATGAGAATGAGAGGCTCCCACAAATTAGGCAAGTCATTAACTCTTTGCCCTATAATACAGTACATATTGTCATTAGTCAACTAACTCCACTTGCATATACAGAGCTTCCAAGTATCGGTTTAGTGGCTCCTAACTATGAATGGATCAGTGTAGGATATCCAGATATTTTATTTAAGTCAGTGACAAGAAATATATAAATTAAATCAAACAGAAGTACAAGGAATTTAGACTAAATAGTGACAATCCAAGAAACAAAAGAGATTCTTAAAAAAAACTGTGATGGGTAGATTTAGAGAGCTAATAAAATAAAAATAAGACAAAAGCTATAAAGGAAGAAAAATTAGACTGAGATATAATAGGTGCTCAATAAATATTCGTTGAATGAATTGAATTTTTATAACTATAAAGGATGTGCATATTTATAAATAATTTATAATGGTTCAGTGTAAAACACACATTGAACAAAAGAATTGAAAGACATGAGTGGATAAATACACCAGAAATTAGAAGATTAATCCAAAAGATCCAATATAACATTGAGAAATGGTCTTGAGAGACAGGGATGGGGACAGAGAGGTGGAGGTAATGAAATTATAAGGAGCCAACGCAAGAAAATTTATAATACTGATGGACAATTATTTCCAGACTTAAAGGATCTACAGTTAGCCAATACAGTAAATGCAAAAAGGTCCACATTAAGTCCATATCATTGAAATTTCAGAATAGCTGGTGTTTTAAAAAACTCAGAAAACTTCTAAAGAGAGAAAAAACATATTCTGTAGAAACTGGAGAAAATATGAACAACATCAAGTTTCTCAGCAGCAACACTAAAAGCTAAAAGAAAATAGAATAATATCTTTACACCTCAGGGTAAAAATTATTTTCATACTGGGATCCTATATCCGGCCAAAATATCATATAATTTGAAGGTACAATTACTATATTTTTAGACCTGCAATGTCTCAAAAATTTATCTGGAGTCCACTCCCTTTCAGGAAGCTACTAGAAGACATACTATATTAAAATGAAGGATGAAACCAAGGAAAAAAAAGATGCAGATGTCAGAAAAGGAGTTGCGTAATAATAATATCAATTCCTAGACAATAGTGAAGATGAGTCTCAGGATAACAGCTTGCCAATAAGCCTTCCAATCTTAATGGAGCAATAAATTTGAGGGTTCCCAAAGATATTTCTAAGAAAAGTAATGGAAACTAATAGAAGACTTTACATTTCTACAAAACTGACAAATCTCAAATAATTGGTGGTTACTATGGGTTTGGTACATAGAAAGCTATGCAAAAAAAAAAAAAAAAAAAAAAAAAAAAGCAATCATTAAACCTAGGGAGAAACAAAATTAGTACATGAAACACAATGTAATCATAATGTGCTATGTACCTCTGCTGTGAATAATTGTTACAGGCCCATTATATTATAAACATTATTGGATTAAAATTGTAATATTAAGTTACTAGGATTAAAAGAAGGAAAATGTGTGTGGAAGATGTAGACCTAGGAACGAGAGAAACATCTCCATCTTCCATATTGAGAAGTCAATGAGAAAAAAATAAAAAGCAGAGTATCAGTTTAAGTTTACTTAAAAATACAAAGGAGATAAATTAAGAAGCACTAAAATAATTATTTTACTAATAATTAAATACTCCTATAGGTATTCTTACAGGAGTAAGACTCGAGTGGAGAGCAAACAGTGGGAGGCCTTCTGATTTTGTCTCATAAGCCTGTTAAAACCATTTGACTTTTTTTTTAAGAATCAGCTTTCCCAGGTTGAATATTTGATTTTTTTTTAATTTTTATTATTATTTTTTTAAGATGGAGTCTCACTCTGTTGCTCAGGCTGGAGTGCAGTGGCATGATCTCGGCTCACTGAAACCTCCATCTCCTGGGTTCAAGTGATTCTCCTACCTCAACCCCCCAAGTAGCTGGTACTACAGGCATGCGTCACCACACCTGGCTAATTTTTATATTTTTAGTAGAGATGGGGTTTCACTATGTTGGCCAGGCTGGTTTTGAACTCTTAACCTCTAGCACTCTACCCACTTCAGCCTCCCAAAGTGCTGGGATTACAGACATGAGCCACCATGCCTAGCCTTGATTTTTTAAATGTGGTTTTATAATATGAAATTTGAAATGTAAAAAAGAAATTATTATGTGTTTGCATGTTACTTTCTAAATGCTTTATTTTAAAAGTCACTCTACTAAGTTTCATCTTTTACAAACTGTATAAAGTTAAATTAACTCACAAGAGAGAATTTTAATCCACTAAGTACTTACGTGAATGGACAAAGCTGAAACCAAGTCCAAAGTTGAGTTATATCAATTTGTCAAGAAACCCCTTCTGGAGATGAGGTTGTCCTTGTGTTGCTATCCTGTTTTAACTAGTAAAATACTTCTGCCTTAGGATATGCTTTTTTCATATCCTGGAATTTATTTTCCTTCCAGGAAAATATCATGAAGCTGGATGCATGATCATTAAAATGTACAAGAACAGATGTTGCTGGGTATCTGTCAAGCACTGAGTAAACGTTCTGATGTGTCATTTTTTCTAGTTACTGTGGATGAATAGCACAAAAAATGGAGTGTTAGTTTGGAGCTGCCATAACAAGTTACCCCAAACTTAGTGCCCTAATACAGCAGAACTTTATTATCTCATACTTCTCAAGGCCACAAGTACAAAATCAAGGTATAGGGAGTAGAGAACTCTACTCTGCAGGCTGGAGGGGAGAAGCACTCCTTGCCTCTGACAGTTTATGGTGGCTGCAAGCCCATTCTTTAGTTTGTTGTTGTGTAACTCTCATTTCTGCCTTGGTCTGCACATGGCCTTCTCCTTTCGTCTCTGTCTCCCTCCTTTGGGTGTCTCTTCTAAGGACCCTAGTCACTGGATTTAGGATCCACCCAGATAATCTAGGATGATCTCATCTTGAGACTCTTAGCTTAATTATGTTTGCAAAGACCCTTTTGTCACATAAGGTCACATTCACAGGTTCCTGGGTTAGATGTGGATATATATATTTTTTTAAGGCCACAATTCAATTCACACACACACACACACGCAAAGAGTAGAGAAGTAACAGGGCAAATATCACTTGTTATTTACTTTAATGACAGGTCATATTTGGACAAACACAAAGCTAAGCCTGGAATTCCAATATCTTGGGAATTGAAAGATGAAAGCAGTCAGAAAAAGTAGAACTATGAAGACAGTTTTATAAACTAGCCACTAATTCTTTTCTTTTTAGATTTACCATTAACCTCTTCCACTTTTATGCCATCTGTAAACTTGACTGGCTTGTTGTCTATTTTAAAACGACGTTTTAAGGCAAAAACAGTGTTGGCTTGTTGTTCTCAGCGACTTCATTTTCTGAATAAACAAGACTGAACCCTTTTAAATGTCAGTAGAAATCTTTCTGAGAAGCACTATTTTTTTGCACACTAGAGACGATATACTTAACATCATTCAACCACTTTCTTTTGTGTATTCAATCATCTTTCCCATTTTAAAATTAAGTAATGTTTTATATAAAATATGTGAATTCTCTGTAGCAATTTAAATTTTGATGTAGTATTTTCTACATTATATAGGAATATATTTTTATGCTTTATTGAGTAAAAAAAAAAGAAAAAAAAAAGGAGGGGGACAGAATATGCCAAGAAAAATTTTTAAGGACTATTATTTGTTTGAAATGGTGACCAGTTAATTTCTATATATAAATGCAATGATTCTGTTCTCATTGTATGCCAGGAAATGTTTGAAAATAAACAAATAGTGAAATAGACTTAGGGTAGTCTAAACAATTTAAAGAGTACCAATTTTCTTAGAATCATAGAATTTAGAAAGAATGTTAAATATGAAGTCCAAACTCACTTTATATGCCTCGTGGCAATTGACATTACGTGATTTGCTCTATATCACATATCTGGCTGTGACAGATGTAAAATTTTAGGTTCCTAACATCATTCTATTCTCATGATTTTTCTATCACTGTTAACCTGACAAATGCATCCACTTTAGACGTTTTAAGTGTTTGTGGAAAATTAATGCATCCTCAATGCTTGAGAATGTTCATCTTTATGGAAACCAAATAGTATTTTAAAAGCAGGATTTTGGGAAATAAATTTGTATTTGAGTTTTTTTTTTTTTTTTTTTTGGTCACATTTTCAATGGATGACCTCATTCAAACTGCTTAATTTTTTTGAGCCTCAGCTGCTTTGTTTGCAAAATGAAAGGACTACTATATAATCCACAGGACTATTTTGAGACAAAATAAACTCAAGTTGAGACTAGCTCTCAGCCTGCATATAATGACTATTCAATCAGTGCCAGTTTCCTTCCCTGTACTGCTTATAAAAAAGTCAGTCAGTTACACTATAAACCTGTTGTGATGTATTCAGTTGTCTCCCTCCCACCTCAAAATTCGTGTGTTGAAGTTCTGATCCCCATTACCTCAGAGCAAATTTCTGCTCTTTAAGTCAAGGGTCCCCAATCCCCAGGCCACAGACTGGTATCGGTTTGGGGCCTGTTAGGAACAGGGCTGTACAGCAGGAGGTGGGTGGCGGGTGAGCCTGCCAAGTTTCATCTCTATTTACAGCTGCCCCTCATCAGTCACATTACTGCCTGAGTTCCACCTCCTCTCAGATCAGCAGTGGCATTAGGTTCTCATAGGAGCGTAAACCCTATTGTGAATTGTGCAAGTGGGGATTTAGGTTGCCTGATATTTAGGAGAATCTAATGCCTGATGTCTCCTATCACTGTCTCCTATCATCCCCAGATGGGAGCATCTAGTTGCAGTAAAACAAGTTCAGGGCTCCCACTGATTCTACGTTATAGTGAGTTTTATAATTATTTCATTATATAATACAATGTAAATAATAAAAATAAAGTGTACAATAAATGTAATGTGCTTGAGGCCAGGCACAGTGGCTCACACCTGTAATCCCAGCACTTATGGAGGCCAAGGTGGGCGGATCACTTGAGGTCAAGAGTTGGAGACCAGCCTGGCCAACATGGTAAACCCCCGACTGTGCTAAAAATACAAAAAATTAGCCAGGTGCAGTGGTGCATACCTGTAATCTCAGCTACTTGGGAGGCTGAGGCATGAGAATCGCTTGAACCCTGGAGGCAGAGGTTACAGTGAGCCAAGCTCATGCAACTGTACTCCAGCCTGGGCGACAGCGGGACTCCGTCTCAAAAAAAAAAAAAAAAAAAAAAAAAAAAAAAAAAAAAAAGTACCTGAATCATCCTGCAACTATTTCCCCATCTTCCCCATAGAAAAATGGTCTTCCACCAAACTGGTCCCTGGTGTCAAAAGGGTTGGCACTGGTTTTAGCCAACTGGCCACTGGTGTAAGTCACTCAGTTTGTGGTGCTTTGTTATGGCAGCCCTAGGAAACTAATGCACCTGTATTTCTTGGATTGATGGTTACTTATGATGACATTTCTTAGGGATAGTTTTGCAGCAGTCAGTCTGTATCAGGATCTGTAAGGTCCTTCTTTTCCAATTTCAAGGAAAGCAGGTTCAAAATCCCTTTCACCTAACTCTTAGTTGAGATGCCTGTTCAAGAATGGAGAAGGTAAGGGGCCTCTCCAATATATGTGATTCTGGTTCCAATCTTCCAATATCTTGCTATGCCTATACTATTTGTACAGGTTATAGGTTCGTGGAATAGATAGAGATCCCGATCTCTGTATCTCTATCTATATGTCATCTACATACTCTACATCTAAATCTATTGAGCTTTCTGTGAAACATACCACAAGTTTTTACCCCTTATTTTATAAAAAACTTGCTGAAAACACCACTTTAATCAAATCGTCATGTCATACCCTCTCATACATTTTTATTTACCATAATTTGCCCTCTGTTAACACGTTGTTAGACAATTGAAGGCCTTTCCCCTTTCTGCCACGTCCCTTCAAATGAAGCTTTGCCCACATTTCAGAGTATTTCTTTGAGATAGTGCACAGAAAGGCTAAAAGCTATAAACCAGGCCAAAGGTTATAAACATTTTAACATTCCTAATACTTATCACCAAGTTGCTTCACAGAAAAGCTGGTTGTTCTTTCCTTTTGAACTTAATCACAAGAGAATAATCTTGGTAGCAAGAGAAAGAAGGCCATGGAGGGCATTGGAAGCATTAGCGTTCAACAGGCACAAGCAGGTAATAAATATCACTTTATGAAAAGCTCAAAGCCATGCATGGTGTTTGCATAACATGTTGCTAACTGAAGACCTCTCTGGTTCACAACCTTTCTGAAACTCAGCGTTTAAATGCAATATAGCCTATTAAATTATCAGCTCAAGTACTCAGCAGAAGGCATCTCTATCTTCTTTGCTCTTAGGGATGTTTCTACTGACATGCACACTGGAGTCCAGAGATAATTTTCAATAAACTGTTGTCACTTGAAAATAAACAGTCTGGACAATGTATGGTCCATCTGGAACACTGAGAAAATAAACAATCTAGGATATGCTTCCTTCCTGCCTCTGTAGCCCTTTTTGGAATGTGTGTTCCAAATACTTCCCGTTCTTCCCCAAAGCAGGAGGTTTTATTTAAAATAAAGCTGTTTATTTGGCATTTCTGGGAGACCCTTTTCTGAGGAACCACAGCAATGAATGGCCTTGCATCCTTGCTTCGAAGAAACCAATTTATCCTCCTGGTACTATTTCTTTTGCAAATTCAGAGTCTGGGTCTGGATATCGATAGCCGTCCTACCGCTGAAGTCTGTGCCACACACACAATTTCACCAGGACCCAAAGGTGAGGAAAGAAAACCACGATTTTCATGTATAATAAATATGATCTCTTCCCTCATCTCTGAAACCCTTCCTAGATTTCAATGACTTTCTCTTCTCTCCTCTCTAGTTTCCTCCCACTTCCCTTCTATTTTGGAAAATCAGGATTTTCCAAATCTGGTCTGTTACTTATTTAAAGCTCTCCCTTGATGTTAGGTAAGAGGATGTTGGGAAGGGGAAACCCAGGACAGAGATCTGAGGGAACTTACCCGGGGCAGGGGGAAAGTCCCTGTTCCATTCTGCTCCGGGATAGATGCACAATCCAAGCATGAGTCTTCAGAAGTCCTTTCCTTCCTTAAAAGGATCTCTATTTTTGAGCTGTTTGTATTCTCCTCCTTTCTAATACTGATGCTGGTGAAGCTGTTTAAGCAAAGGGTCAGTAAAATAAAACTTAAATCTTAAATATATATTTCATGAGTTAATGGGATCCTGAGTTCCAACGTAGAGGATGGAAACATTCTGTCAAGCATCATAGGTAGTAGATAAATGACCATTTCTTTCTTTGGAAGTGTAGTCTTTGGGGCCAAGTGCCTTCTGCTCAAGAATGGTAGAATATTGCAAAATGTTCTCCAGTAGAGCCAAGGTCCAAATATGCTTTAAGCAACTAGTAGATAAAAAAATCTATTTTTCTGGTTTTAGCTTTTACCCTTTTGTTCTGAATAGTGGTCACTGCACTGCAGATTGGTGCTCCCTTATTAGTAATTCATGCTGTTTCTCCAGGCTATAGGGTGGAAGAATTGCAGCTGCCTAAAATTTTAAGTAGAAAAAAGTGTTTTTTTTTTTTTTAATCAGAAATATGTTGCCCCATGCTTGTCAGTTATTTAAATGTGTATTGCTTAAAGTGCATTTTTCTTAATCACTGAATTAATTTTCCTCTAAGATTGCAATCCAAGTTTTAACCTTTGATACGATAAAATAAATGCTGTAAGGAACAATGAGACCTTAGAGCTTCCAAATAATTTCTTGGGTGAATAAATGAATAATGTGAGGGCAAATGTTCAGAAAGAAAGTTTTGATTAGAAATAAAGTATTTACTTAAAACCTGTACTGAACTTTCCTTAGAGTATAGGAAACTTTAGATTATTCCTGGGGTGTCATGGGAGGCATCGAAAATTAAAGTTTTCCTTGTCCCTGCAAATGGGAGAATCCATTTGAGAATAGCACTATTTTTTACTTAGTAGAAAATTTCTCCCTCCCCATTTTCCCATTAGAAACCCTGTTAAGATTTCAGACAGTGGAAATCTCACTAACTTTCCTCCTGAGCACGTGCAGACATTATGAGATAATTACAAGCCAGACTGTGACAAAATGAAGTGAGTGCTCCTGGGGAAAAGGATTTGGGAAGCGGTGCTCTAGAACCCTGGGTTCTAGAACCAAGTTTGTTTGTTATGTTCTTGGGTTTGATTTCCTCTTCTTCATCTAGAGCTTGGAAACTGCATCAAATGGACTCTAAATTTTATTTTTAATAAAATTTTATTCTTAATAAAATAAATTCTTAATAAAAGTTAATAAATTTTATTCTTAATAAAGAAGTTCATGATCCTCGAATGTACTGAATACCTACTAAGTTCCAGGCATCATGTTAGCTGCTAGGGGCTGGAAACTAAGATAAGGAACCTGTCTTAGCTCTTGCATCTACATACCAAACTTTGTATTCTATTACAGACTCTTGAGGTTGGCACCAGTTAATTTATGCTTTTTCTTTGAAAATTTCCTACACACCTAAATGCACCTAAAGCAACATGAGTATATTCATATTCATCGCTGCCTTTCCTCTGCTCTAGGAATTGTGCAAGATGATATGAGTACACCAGAAACAAAGACATGATACCTTCTCTTAAGATAGGAACAGTGGGCCAGGTGTGTTGCCTGTAATCCCAACACTTTGGGAGGTCAAGGCAGGTGGCTCGCTTGAGCCTAACAGTTTGAGACCAGCCTGGGTGACATAAGGAGACCCCATCTCTACAAAAATTAAAATAATTTTTTTAAATTAGCCAGGTGTGGTGGTGCACACCTGTAGTCCCAGTTACTTGGGAGTCTGAGGCAGGAGGATTACTTGAGTCCAGACAGTTGAGCCTGCATGGGCCCTGATCATGCCACTTCACTCCAGCCTGAACAACAGAGTGAGACCCCCATCTCAATATATATATACACACACACACACACACACATATATACACATATATATATGTATATATATGTATCTCTCATACACACACACACACTGCCATCTACTCTACCTTGTTCCTTCATGAATACACAACCCCTCCCTACTCCAAAATAAGGCAGATATGTATATTTACCTCTACAAAATTAAAAAAGAATAGTATGATGGCTGAGCAAATGTTTTAAAGGACTGGGTTATTACTGTTTTTTCAATATTTTTTCCCTAAGATCAAGCTAGTCTTAATACTTTTCTCCATGGCTAATCATCTCATTACTGTATTTTCTAGCACTGCAGCACGGTGCTCAGAAATTTCTAGATACTCTGGGAAACAGATTGTGAAAGGAATTTTCCCTAAATTCATTTGGGAGAGTGAAAACTAAATAATTTATTTAGAATTACAGAATGCCATTTGTGAAAACCCAGAAATGCTAACCAATCATAGTATATATTGACCAATATACAGATATTATTTTTAAAGTCTTATTTCCCAGACATGGCTTAGTGGAAAGAAAGACACTGGAGTCAATCTGTCTATCTTCAGCATGTTGTTACATCTGTTACACTTCAGTGTCTTCATTTGCAAAGTGAGCCTTCCTCACAGACCTGTTTTCAGAATTATCATAACCAATGTGAACTTTAAGCTGTGTAGACATCATCAATAGAAATTTTAACAAATTGTATTCTATCTTTCCCTTCTCTCCCTATCTAAGTCTGTCAAATAACAATTTTGAGAATAAGTTATCAAAACATCTCTGTTGCAAGCCATCATTATTTTTCTTTCTATGCCTTAAACTTGTTGTTTATGTTACCTAATAGGAAAATGAAATTCATTCTCTCTCTCTCTCTCTCTCTCTCTCTCTCTCTCTCTCTCCCCCTCCTCCTCCCCCCACCGCCCCCTTCCCTCCTCCTTCCCTCCCTCTCTCCTTCTCTCCCTCTCTCCCTTTCTCTTTTTCTCCCTCCTCCCCCATCTTGGTGGTTTCTTTAAACAATTTATGTGAAATTCTGACCTCTAGTGGTTTCCCTTGAAAATAACAATGACAAAATATGTACAACTATTAAGTATCCATAAAAAATTAAAAAGAAAAATAAATGAACACAAAGCAAAAGAGAGACAAGTTTTAAACAAAAAGTGTTAAAAAATGATTTTAACCAATTAATGTGGATGATGCTTTACAGTTTTCAAGGACCTTTAAAATCATTGTCTTGTTTAATTCCCATAATTTCCCTATGTGGTAGCAATTTCTTTAAACTTAGACCTAAGGAAACAATACCAGTGGGGCCAAGGGGAGTGCCCAAGGTCTTTCAGCAGGTGGAATCTTGCATCTTGAACTTGACCCTGGGCCTTCTGGCTCCAAGACCAGTGTCATTTCATTATATCCACTAGTTTGTACTAGTTATATATCAGGTTTGAAAATACAGTCCACCAGTCACATTTTGGTGATTAAAAAAATGTACAGGGCAAAGTCAAAGAACATGGCATCATGAAACCTCACAGCCCGGCACTGTCTTGGGTACTAAAATATGCTGAAAACGATGGTATATCTTCTCTTTGATAATCAACTTCATTACTTCATTAATTTGTTTGGAAATAATGTTATTTTACCCTATTACTTATTTTGGTGTTTGCTAGCTTTTTAGTAGGGCCTTTTCAATGACATTTTTTTTGTGTGTGACCTACAAGGTCTTTTTTCCAACTGACTTCTCTCAGCTTCTCCCCCATCATTTCAAACTGCTGTTTTCAATTCTGCTTTTCAATGGGCATGCTGGTCTTCGCTCTCCTTCCTGACTCGGGACCTTGGCTCTTGATGGCTCTTCTGCCTGGTCCACCCTTATCCAGATCTTCCCAAGGATAATTCCTTCTCCTCATGGAGGTCTTAGCCCAAGTGTTATCCGTGCAGCAAGGCCCTGCCTACCTACCCCTGTACTCTTTGTCATAGTTCCAAGGTATTTTATTTTCACAGGCTTAGTACTAAGTGAAAATCTCTTGTGTATTGATGTATGTATAGTCAGTCCTGGCGTGCAGGCTTCCCAAATGGACAAGGATGCCAGTCCTTCTTGCTGAGCGTGGTTTTCTAAACCTGGAAGAGCTCCCAACACAGGGTGGGTGCTCAATACGTATTTGTGATTAAATGAATCTACCCACATTTTCCGTGAAAGACCCCCAACATTTTAATTTGAGGTCTTGATCTATTAACACAACTCTTTCATAATATCCTCTAAGTATGTCCTGAAGTTCCTAAAAACTGTTGCACATGCTCCCATAAAAGGACTGCTCCTGGGGACCATGGCCATTGTGCCACTTCCCCAACAACTTAAGAACCTCCCTGCCAGGGGCCACTGCCTTTCTTGTAATTACAATAGTGCCTCTGCTTCCCAGGTGCCCCTGTCTCTGCCTAGCCAGTAACATACTGCTGCCTCCTTCACTAAGGCAGCCTTTCCGACACTTCTGAGGACACTGTGATTCTCACGGGTAACCGTCATGACTCCTCCACAAGTGTGGCCTGTGATGAAACCACAAGGCAGAGCAAAGCTCTTTCCCTTTCAGCATGACTCTAATCACCACATCCAATGGGGTGGCAGGAGCAAGATTGCTAGCACACATTGAGTAGCTGCCATTCACCCAGCACTGTGCGAGTGCTTTACAACCATGTTTAAATTTAATTACTTCAATGGACTTTGAGCAAAAAGATTTTATTATCTCAGTGAACTCTGAGAAAAAATACTTTATTATCTCAATGGACTTTTGAGAAAAAAAGGCTTTATCACTCCCATTGGACAGATGAAGAAATTGAGGTAAGAATTATTAAGTCCCTAACGTAGGTCCACAGAGCCAGAAGAGGCAAATTAAAACCCAGTTAAGTTCTAGTTGGGCCCTATGTTCCAATCAACCTGCTAAACCCACTAGCAAGCCAGAGAGGCCCCTACACGGTGTTGACGGCACCTCAGTGTTTTATGGGGCCAGAGGAAATGGCTACTTCAGTCTCTTTACTTAAACCCCCCTTGGTCCCCATGGAACTCCAGAGCACACACCTGAGTGTCAGACAATACAAGCTCTGCACAGTTGCTGCTCTTCTCTGATGAGAGAGGCTATGCCATGAGTAAAGCCTGACAGTCGTCACCCCTATCCTCAGGGATAATTCCTTTCTCAGAAGACCTCTTAGCTACTGAAAACTAGATTTCTATTTGGCCATCCACTATTTTACTGGACATGGCTCTGGATCCCAGCAATTGACACAACTTGAATAATTTACCAAGATACTTCTTAGCCTCCAACACAAATAAGACATTCTGTGACTTACCCAAATGGATAGAGAGAAACGCCCAAGAAAGTCCAATCTTTTTCATACTCAAACTGGAAGTCTTACTACCTGTGAGGTCACCCTCAGAGATAATTTTGTTTAACTCCAGTTATTTTTACTTTTGTGAAAACTGAGGCCCGGAGAGGTAAAATAACTTGTTCTAGGTCACACAGCGGCTAATAGGTAGCAGGGCTAGAACTAGAACTCAGATTCCAGATTTTTGGAGCAGGCATTGTTCCATTCCACCATGTTACATCATTTTCCTCACCTTATATCATTCTCATTAAACATAAAATGATTAGTTGGTTTTATAAATTAACATTAGAAAAGGAGTTCCATGAGATCAATGTATAAACATGACACAGAACTATTCTAGCTCAGTCACCCTGATGCAAGTTGAGTTGCTGATTCTTTTTCGGTAACTATCAGAAAGGGTAAACAACTAGGTGTTTTCCCAAAACTTTGTATTAATTGTATTAATTCACTAGATTCTTTCATTATGTGTTTTAATATGTATTTTCTGCATAAGGACAGAACAATATTTTCAGTGTTTTTTTTTTAACTTCTGTATTTCAGTGTATCGATACTTAGAACAATTTTTCATCTTTTTTTCTTTAGGTAGATACTAAGAAGGCATTTCAAGTTTAGGTCAGGAAGGGAAGAATAAAATTCCAGTCAATAAAAGTGTGGGTAAAGATGAGTCAGGAAGTAGTACTAAATGGTAATGATAAAAAACAATTTGTTTCGGCTGGGCACGGTGGCTCACGCCTGTAATCCCAGCAATTTGGGAGGCCAAGGCAGGTGGATCACGAGGTCAGGAGATCGAGACCATCCTGGCTAACATGGTGAAACCCTGTCTCTACTAAAAATACAAAAAATTAGCTGGGCGTGGTGGCGGGCGCCTGTAGTCCCAGCTACTAGGAGGCTGAGGCAGGAGAATGGCGTGAACCCGGGAGGCGGAGCTTGCAGTGAGCAGAGATGGCGCCACTGCACTCCAGCCTGTGCGACAGAGCGAGACTCCGTTTCAAAAAAAATAAAATAATTTGTTTCATTTTAATATGAACTTAATAAGCCGTGTCTCTCTTCAACACTCTTACATAATAATTTGGATATGTATTAATCACTAGTAGAGATCATAGTGATAGGCATTTTCATGTATGTGAAGATCATGGGCTTTTATATGTATATATCATGGACATATATATATATATGTATAGTTTTGAATGTGAGCTCTGCCACTTACCTAGCTATACGATCTTAAGCTTAAATGTCTTCATCTATAAAATGGCCAAAACATTGAACTCATGGAGATAGAGAATAGAAAGATGATTAACAGAGGCTAGGAAGGGGAGTTGGGGGACATAGGGACAATTAAGGGGTACAAAAATAATAGAAAAAAAGAAAAAGACCTAATATTTGATAGGACAACAGCTGAACTATAGCCAGTAATAATTTAATTGTACATTTGTAATAACTAAAAGAGTATAATTACATTGTAACACAAAGGAGAAATGTTCAGTATATCCAGTTTCCCATGATGTGATTGTTACACACTGCATGCTTGTACCAAAATATCTCATGGACCCCATAAATGTATACACCTACCACACACCCACAAAAATTAAAAATTAAAAAAAATTAGAAATACAATGGAGATCATATTGCCCACCTCAAATGCTTATTTTGAAATTGAAACATGTTTAGTATATAGCTTACCTATCATTTCTTTCACTAGTCTCCACTCCTGTTTGTTACGATAGGCTCTCTTCCCCCATTCCTAAAGAAAAGCTCATAGATTGTGAAGTCAGCTCCCCAAATAGAAATGTACCAGGGAAAGACAGCTCCTTTCTCCTACTTATCGCAATTTTCTGCCTATTTTCAGTCTTACTCCAAAGTCAACTTTTATTTATCAAGAGCTCACAAACTTGAGACCACCTCTTCTCTTCGCTGATATTGCTTCCTTTCTCCAGTTCTCCAACTGATCCTGGCGTTCCTTATTAGTAAAATGGAAATAACTAGTAAATACCCTCAAGTTTGTCATGGGGATTACATGAGTGAAAACAGAAAACTGTACCTCAGATTTCTCATCAGTAACATAAGGATGATAATAGTGTGATTTCTTCATAGGGTTGTGGTGAGGAAAAAAATGAGTTAAGCCACATAAAACTCTTAGCACCTGTAGTCTCAGGGACTCTATAAAATAAGAGCAAACCATGGGAGAGCAAAACCCAAGGGAGAATGAGATTGTGTTTCCTGTTTATTGTTCTTCCTTCTTCCTTTAAGAAATATTTCCTTTAGCTACTGTCTATGTCATATAGGCAGGCTATTCTACTGGCCTTGGGTCATTGATGACGTGTAGGCCAGGCACAAATTCTCTCTTTCTCTCTTACTCCTCTTGTTTATATTTATAAAATTCTACTTGTAGAAACTTGGTAACTCTGTTAGTTTCTTCATGATATTTCAACCCATAACCAATTTGTCTGTTATTTTTGCATTACATATTGGACTTGCAATATCCTGTAATTTTATACAATTCTTTAAATTATATTTTATAGCTTTCTCTGCTCTTTTAGAAAAGAATTGTACATACACACAGTAAAAATCGGACACTCAGAGATTCAAGTAAAGCAGCATCTAAATAATGTGGGGTTTCTTTTCACATTATTTACTGTGATTGTTCTTGATTCGACAGCTCTGGAAGCATCAGTTTAGGTCTCTTGTGGTTACGGGAAGATGCTTGTATCTGTTAAACAAATTATATGAACAGAAGTCATTCTTCAATTTGCAAAGCTTCATCTATTATTCTATTTTAGCTCAACTGACACCTATAAGGATCATCACCTTTATTTTAAGGAGAAGGAAACTAAAGCGTACTGCTCTTGCATGTGATTTCACCACACAGCTGTGAGAAAGTTTTCTGAGGAGAAACCCTGTACCCATTCTACCTCCCTAACTACGAAGAGAGGAGCCCTAATCAACCCAGCTGGTGAGAGAAGCTGAGATCTGTTAAATGAGATAATGTCATCTCAGGAATAATCACCCATATCTTAAGAAGACAGGCTAGATGTGCTGAGGACACAAAATTCTTTAAACAGATAACTTATTGTTACCTGCATTCAGAGCTTATAGACTTTGAAGGTCATTTATTTGATGCTGCTCAGGGATAAGTGTATGTGCAAGACATTATAGCATCAAGTGCAGTCAAAAATAGTTTTGATAGTGTTGTTCTGCCTGGCCTGAGATGAACCAGGATTTAGAAAAAGATTTCTCCAGTCAGAGCCAAAAGCTGTGAAAAAGTCATCTTTCTCTCATCAGACCACATACTGGGTGACCAAATGACAGGACAACCAAAAGAAGGAGGCCCATATGTCCAATGGGAAGTTGAGGGATGCAGTGTAGCAGCAAGTGTGACAATATACTCTAGACAAAAGTGAAAGCCCCCAAAGAAATGTGCGTGGGTCGGGGAACTTTGATACACCACAAGGGAAAGTCTCTGGAACCAATTTATCATTGTAACCCTAGCACCATGCTTCACTTGAAGGGCAAAGCTGGACAATGTCACCAATGATTTTGGGGCAAAGCCAGTGCTAGACCACAGACACAGACCAAGAATAAAGCTCACATAGAATGTACAAAGGCAAGGGATATGACCTGCTTTCCTCAATTGGAGCACACTTAAGATGACATTTTACTTTTCAAATTAAAATGAGCTTGAAATTTTGATTAGCCCGAGTAGGGAATGATATATATAATACAATATATATATATATATATATATTTTGCCTCTCCATGATTTGGGAGACAATATCATGTTGGTATTATTCTAATGTGGCCTATCCACACCAATGTGAAATTTTTTTCTGCTCCCTCTTTCTGATATCCAAAACTAAAATGTCCAGCATTCTCAACTGCCAAGGTGTCCCACCATCTGCCCACAGGGCTTTATTAAGGGGAAGATAATCTCCTAAAATACATCATATCACTGCCTTTTCTATATCTTTTCTTGTCTGAATTTTGGGAATGTAGAAAAATGGGCAAGTGAGAGGTTAGAGCATGGTATTCTATAGCATCAAAAAACATCACCAGTGCAACAAAGTTATTGACTCAGTTTTCTAGTTAGTAAAGACTCTGAGTCTTAAAGCAAAGGATATTCAATGGAGGAGGAGCTAACTAAGTGTTATCCTGCGCCCCCCCCCCCTTTTTTTTCTGAGACAGAGTCTCGCTCTGTCGCCCAGGCTGGAGTGCAGTGGCGCGATCTCGGCTCACTGCAAGCTCCGCCTCCCGGGTTCACGCCATTCTCCTGCCTCAGCCTCTCGAGTAGCTGGGACTACAGGCGCCCGCCACCACGCCTGGCTAATTTTGTTTTGTATTTTTTAGTAGAGACGGGGTTTCACAGTGTTAGCCAGGATGGCCTCTATCTCCTGACCTCCTGATCCGCCCCCCTCGGCCTCCCAAAGTGCTGGGGATTACAGGCGTGAGCCACCGTGCCCAGCCTATCCTGCCCCCTTTTAAGTGGATAGGATTGGCATTTTAATAAGGTAGAACACAGAATTAGTTTTGTTGTTTTTTTGTTTTAACTCCAATGGCTTCAACATAAATAACAACTTATTATACTTGTCTGCTGCATTAATCCATTTTATGTTGCCATAATATAAAGGAATACCTTAAATTGGGTAGTTTATAAAAAAGAGGTTTATTTTGTTCATGCTACTGCAGACTGTACAAAAAGTGTGATGCCACTATCTGCTTCTGGTGAGGGCCTCAGGAAAAGTACAATCATGGCAGAAGAGCAAAAGAAAGGAGGATAGTGTCACACTCTTTCAAATAACCAGATCCGGTGTAAACTGAGAGCGAGAACTCACTCATTACCACAAGGAAAGCACCAAGTCAGGCATAAGAGATCCTCCTACATGACCCAAACACATCCTGCCAGGCCCCACCTCCAACGAGGGGGATTGTATTTCAACATGAGATTTGGAGAAGACAAACATCAAACCATGTCATCTGCTAACCTAATTTTCATTGAACAGTGGGTTTTCTTTTCCACATAATTTTCGGAGTTATTTTGCAGAAGTTGTGAGATTGTTTGTATCTGGTCCAGTCAACCAAATGATAGTCTAAACCAGAGGAACCAATGGAAGTCTTTGAGTAGAACAAC